ATAAAATTCCAGACTTGACATATAAATGCATTGCTACCCACGGTTTCGTATTTCACTTGGCATGTGATTTTAATTATTCACATGCCTATTTGATAAATATCGGCATAAATTGGCACAGCTAGTATAGTACACGCGGAATTTCTCTGAAAAGAATGTTATTTTTGCATAAGAATATAATCACAAACTGGAAACATGACTTTATAACTCTATCAATTCTTTTTACGTCTTTTTACGAAGTTAAGTTTTTGCCCAAGGACGAGGTGTTTGGCATGCTTTTCTTTCTCTCCGTTCTTTCCTTTTAGAGGATGGAACGTGACACTCTTCTCGACACTCTTAATCCATTCTTGCTTGCTTGAGGATGGATATATCCGTGCTGTTCGTCGATTCCCCAATCGTAAATTTATCCCGTCTCTTGTCACTCACCACGACGTTTGCCTCAGCATTTTTCGTCTCCGTAATTGCGACCTTTTTGTACGCCTCGCCGCGAGGCCTGTGACCCTTAAGTGCAACAGACTCTCGCGTTGAGATGTGCTTTTACGCTATTAACGGCGCGATGGGTCGTGTCACTGAAAGTGCCGATTGATCGGCGGTAGAATGTTTTTCAGAAGCAAGAATAAGATAAAAAAATAAGAATAAATTAGTATAAAAATTCAATTGAAAACATAAAAAGAGATTTAATTAATGTTTTCCGTAACTTTTTAATTGAATTTTTTAGCGTGTTAAAAGCATCTTTAAATTACTTGCAGAAATGCTCCCGTCAATTTGATATTTCTAAAAAGCGCATGATTTTCTACTTATAATAAGCGTTCTCGCACTTAACCCATTATCGTTTCCCACAGTTAGTAAAAACTTATGCTAATGTTGGCAAAACTGGACGGTGATTGCAACGAAATGCAAATTATATCTACGTTATTCCATCTCGATATTAGCAATTACTGAGTAATTGCGTGAATGGTTATTGGAATTTATATCGCGTCAAGATTTGTTCTTAAGGAGGGTATTATTGAACCCTGGTTTATTTTTGACAAATAAATAATTTCGATATTTCTCCGAGAGAGTGGAAATTACTCGTTTATTTAGCGTTATGGCAGGTCAAGACATAACAAAATAAGATTTGTACTATTTTCATTTTTCACTGCAAATCTAAAAATGTTTATGAAAGTAGGTCCTTGTAATCAGATCAGCTTCTGTATCAGCTTTTAGCTAGGGATTATTTTTGTAATATAACTCACTTTCACTTTTTCTAATGGATGAACGGTCCACCCATGCAATTTCTCACGATCGTTTCACAGCTTAATTTTTACGAGGAGGAAATTAGTATGGGCTGTGGCGACCGTTAAAGACTTTAAACGCTTTCAAAGCGATGATCGATGGCGATTGACCACAACCCTCTTAGGACTATACGTGGCCATTGTTGCTTGACGAATGCGAGAGTTAAAAGACGAGACTAATTGTCGATCGTAAAATAACGGTCGCACGTCACTGTGTGCGTCAAAAACGATGAGCAAATAAAAATTTAGAGATTATTTCTTTAATTTCTCCGTCACAAATTTGCTGCAAAATTTTCTTTATAAAATGAATGATATCAATTTGAATGTTTGCTTTTATCAACTGTTATCGAAATAATTCAATATGCTGAAAGATAAGGCTTTCAAAAGATCTTATGTTATTAAAATATCACTTTCGTATAAAGTTGTCTGAAAGGGTGATAAGATATGATGAACAATTGATTTTATCGCCTTCTTTCATCTGTAAATCTCTGAACACATTTATTCGCTGTTTTCAGATATATATCCTTTTTTTAAGTGTCAAAAATCTTTTACAGCGATAACAGACGATTAGAAGGCGCTACGTTGAACAGTGTGTATCAGTCATCAGTTTCGTGGCCGATATATGTAAATGGAGCGCATTTATCACCGGATTAATTGATTCATTAAAAGCCCAGTAGCGGAGGATTCGAATTCCGGGTCAATGCGCAGGTCAATGAAACATTGATGTGAGTTCGATGAAGATTCATGAATCGCGTGATATAACGATTGCTATAATTGCTATAAAATCGCCCGTCAATCAATACATGCTGATAAAAAACGTATGGATTGCAGTAACAGACTTTGAATTACTCTCGCAACAACTTAATGCGGAAATAATGAGGGTTCGCTATTAACATATTTACAAATCACTAGTTTCCAGAGAAAGTTAGAGGAATAGGGAGATCTGCTCGCAATTAATTGAGAAGGGAGATCAAGGGTCAATATTCTTCGCGAGCGGGAATCTTTCATTCACTTTCAATTTTCCTTTGCATTCCAATTCGATACGAGTGTTCGGAAAGCAATTAATTAAGCGCAACTCACATTGATCGCGATATATATATACCGCGTCCAAAGAACTAATTAATCGCCGATATGTAATTCGTGCGAATTGCTGCATGTCAACTTTAACGGTTGCTTTACGCACTCCATCCGTAATACTTTATTGTCACGCAATTACGGCGCGTGAGTTTTTATCGGCAAACATTCGGCCGTGGCGACTTTTAATAAAACCCCATTAAATTGTTAATTGCCTGTCCCTTCGATTCGTTCGATTTCGCAGTGTCGTAGTGACTTATGGTGCACCCCATACGCGCGGTTACAACATTACGTATTCATTATACGCGGAGATAATAATACATCGGTGGTGGGACCAACCGATCTCCAATCGGCAATTGCGATGAAAGCTCCGGCGAGTAATTAATCCGACGCTGGCTGGCGTCGCGGTCGGTAAGTATAATGAGGGAGGGACAGATTTGTTGTGTTTGCTTTTAATTGCATATTTATGACGCAAATGCCTTAGAGTCACCGTACCGCGAAATAGCACTTGCATATATCATGCGGCGTGTTTAAAATTAAATTCGCAAAAAGTGACGAATTTATTGTGCCGCAAGGTATAAATCTAAAAGCAATTAAAATTGTTAACGACGTTTATACGATATTTATGCAGTCTTTAATTAAAGAGATAGCTAACTTCGATAATTCGTAGTGTATATTTATGCTTCACGAAGTACAGTGTTCACTTAGAATCCAGCCGGTATTCGTGTATCGTGGAATTTCTCTCCGGTGCAACCGAAATTGGGTTAGGTCAAGCCGGCTCGAAGAATGATGGTGTGCGGCGAGGTGGAAGTTGATCCTCCGGAGGTCCACCATAATCGCGCGATGAAACGACGCTGCAAAGTATCGGTTTGCAGAGACGGGCTTTAAACCTAACTCGTAAATACGATCACTTGCACAATCACGACTACCGGTTTGCCAAATGAAGGTCTAAGGCTCGCGCCCTTTGTCGGCGCTTGGCCTCTCGCGTGCATCAACTGCAACATACTGCATCGCGGTAGAGAAAAAAACTTTTCCTCGAAATATCCCGCTCTGTCGAATTACACCGATTCCCGTAAAAATTCGATATTGAATAAAAAGCATGAGACATAAAAACTGTGATTTCGTCGCTACGAGTCTCATTAGTTCGTCTACCGTCGGTATTAGCATAAGCGCGCGATTGCGAGCGAACATTAAACTCGCGAATCGGCAAGGACAGTCACGCATAGCATCGTAATTTCGATTGAGAACATAATAATTTTCTGAGAGATCGCAATCGTGCATAAACGCGCACGCAAGTATAGCTGTCGGCTAAAGTGACACGCTGGACCACCAAGCACGACGGCGCGTGTCATCCGTCAAATTACGCGACGCGGCGTTCTTAAGCAGCCAGCGTTCGAAAGCCAACGTATATTGACAACCCACGACAAGACACGCTACAATCATATTTATCCGCCTCGTCGCGATCTTAATTATGTCTTAATGATACAAAGAGTAAGAAATGTCGAAGGGAAGGCTGTTGCAATTCTCTATGGCGAAGACGGGATTGACTTTTTTAGACAATAATTGGTATAAATATTGTATAAGCTATGATTTCAATAATTATTATAAGCCATAATTGGTATGCAAAGCGTTATTTTTGGTGATGTAATGTTGGCAAGAGCACTTTGCAAAATATTTCGCCGTATACAATTTGATTGGCAGTTATTGAACGTGGAATCCGGGATCGTTTACTACTTCGTGGTTCACAGTTCACTCGGATTACGACGTCGGATTGCGCATTCAGTAGCCAGATAGAGACAAAAACGATTTAGTTAGCCATAAGTGGGACCAGTTTATGATACTATTTGTTTCATGACATTAATGCACGGCATCCATTTCGAACTGGATCAATTATCGCGATTCTTTCTGTGCGAGTTAGATAGATACATTTCGCGCGTGCATTCCAGATCTGCGATAACGCGCTACAATCCATGCATAAATAAACAATTGTCGTTTATAGCGATGTAACGAGCGTAAAGGTATAAAGTATCGTTTACGCAACGTATCTAACATTAGAATCAAGAAAAAACTTGTTGATATATGCGGCGGTGATCACGCCCGCATATTGTTGGCTTCTTTCGAGACATCCTGATAATAAATTGTCCGCAGTACAGTTTGCACGATTAATGATACTTTCTCCCGCCGGATAAAGTCTTCCTTCTTACATCGATCTCATTTGCCCGATGAGGAAGCACCGTGCGCCTCTTTCTCTCGGCGATTTATCTGGCATGTGGCGGGCCCACATTTACGAGAGCGTTTATCGTTCAATCGATCCGATCCGCGCAATGCCGTTAATTCGCTTAATACTTTATCCCGACAAATTATGCGTCGCGGTAGTTAATAATTATTACAGGCTCGCATGCCTCCGATTGTACATTGAATTACACCAGCGCATTGAAAGTGCGGGAAATTTATTCCGCATCGGCGATAATATCAGAACTTTGATGATATTTATGGAAATTAATTTTGACTTCTTCGTTCTCTCTTAACACTATTCTACATCGATTTTTTTAGACTCTAATTAAAAATACTTAAATTTTTTGATCAAAGAATATAAAAATTGCAGAAATACAAAGAAGTAAATAATCTAATAATAAAAAAATGTGGTGGACTTACGTAGAAAGAAAGCTCGACGCGATGAGAGTGCTTCGGCACGCAGGTGAGCGTTTCCGATCTGCAACATCCGGTGTCGTCCGAGCACCTGTGCAGTATAACGCAGTGTGGAATGTAGGTGGTCGATGGACTTGGATAAACGTTACGAACCGGAATGACTCTCGCGCGTGGCCATTGACAGCTGCCTTCCTTGTTGACTTTAATTGCATGCTGAAGAGCTTCTTTGATTCCGTCACCTAGGGCATTCGTCGGTAAAGTTTAATCTTTCGGGATAGTTAAGAATAACATGCGTGACTAATCAAGTCTAACAAAAACAAACGCTCGTGCGTAACAATTGCGTTTATCTTAGAAAGCCGAGATACACCTACTCGCGGCGGTAATATTCGATTTGTGCAATACGTTTCCTCACGATTATTTTTAAGCCTGTTACCTTCTGAATCGTAAATCTCTCGGAATTTTGAAACCTTCCGACCCTTGAACTTTTTATTGAAATTTTAAATCATTAGCTTTCGGCTCTCGAGACTTTTTATTAGCTTTCGTAAAAGATTTTGAAGACTAAAAGAAACATTCTACATGTTGCAACAAGCAACAACTATTAGCATCTTCCCGTGTAGCTCATCAATTACTGTCTTGTCGCGAAGAACCGTCCGTGATAAAATGAAAAGCGGGAGTGGATAGGTCGGATTAGAGAAGAAGTCCGTCTTATCGCATCGGATCTTCGTTACTCGTTAGATTCATCTGACACGCTCGATTACCAATAGTATTACCGGGAGAAAAGCGATAATTTGTAATCAAGATCAAGACGTCAGGCGGGACCGAAAGATCACGTTGGGTAGTCTGCATCGCGAGCGCGAATGCATCTCTGCATTAAGTGACATAAGTCACTGAGAGCTTTCTATTGATTCTGCTTAGAGATAGCTAATCGCTTTCTACACGCGTTTCACATACTGTCGATAATCATGGCGACGCTGTCACTTCGCATAATTTGCTTGTGCGCGCGGAGAAATGGCATTGTAGCGGAGAATCGGCAAATTCTAGTACAAATAATAACAGTAGCGAAATGTCAACGGTACGCAAAAGGAATTCGGAGACACGGCACGAGTCATTTGAAGAATGGATATAGCCAGTCGCGAGATCAAGTGTCACGAGATTATTTGTCAATTGATCGCCGAGGAGAAAGTATGCTCGTTAGCGTTTACTCACGTCGTCCTTTTTTGTGGTCGTTTTACTTTTCGGATTATTCTAGAATGAAAAAGCCGTCTGAGGTAAAATAGCAATGTGGAAAGTGTGGTGAGTGAGATATGATTTAACTTCAAAATTATGTGTTTCCGACCGTCAGCGATGAAGCGCAGCTCGATTGTGCGTAGAATGATGGTGTTAATTGGATCAAGTTCGCTGATCGCCTGTTTCATGAATACCGCGGATCAAGTCGAGGCGCCACGTCGTTTCTAATGGAAAATTATTGCCGGCAAACGCGTGGATGCAACGAATTCCGACTGTCTGCGCTCGGCGGCGACTTATCCTCATTAAAATGTCGTTTGTCGCGTCAGATCACGGATTAATTTATTGACCGTCGTAAAAATTGACCGCGCGTGGAAGGTTACGGTTTAATACGGTATGTTAACTCGCGGTCGGTGCGCGTACAGAGCGTCTGAGAATCACTGGACCACCGGCGCGTTTCATCACAGATAACACAAATAGGGAGAAAAATCGTTTTTTAAAAAGTGGATAGAGCTACACAGATAATAGAAAATATGCAAGTTAAATGATAGGCTTCGCTGGTTCGAGCAACTTTCTCGGAACGACATTTACATCGCGCGCACTCGAGAAACTCGATTGGATAATTTCGGAGGAGATTTCGGAAGTATGCATTGTCGCGGAATTGTTCACTCGTCTAATCTTGCGGAGTAATCGCGCTATGTTAATTTTTCGACGTAGGCGTTACCCTCGGGACGGCGGCACTGACACGAGATTACATCGCTGTGTTCACAATAAAGGCGCGAGCATCGGGGAATCTCGAAGTATGCGCTCTCACCGGTGCGCGCATCCCGTATTCAAACGTATTCTGGAATATATTATGAGAGAAAGGGATTAGATTCGATCATTCGCTATATTTTATCATTTTCCGGATAGGCCGGGGATTATCGCGGCATGTAAATTTTGTTAATCCCGTTTATATTTATTGTTGTCATAGGCAGACAACTGCAAAATCGAACTTGTCATTGATTTACTCTTCCTTTCTCCGGCCGGTTTAGCTAGTTTTGTACGCACAAACTTAAGCTGTGACTCAGCATGGAAGCATTTGATGCTACGAAGGACACAGTAGCATATCCAGCGTGCAAATCACCCCGCAAATATGCAAGACTACGTGAGTTAACAAAATGTAACATCATCCATGACACAAATGCGAAATGCATTCTCATTTGCTAATTGCATTATAAGTACAATTTTGTCCTTGTTAAGAAACTGCTATGTAATTGAAAATTTAATAATAAAAAAATTACTTTACATATGTTAAAACGTGGACGGAAAGTTCGGAAGATAAAATCGTTTAAAAAAGATAAAGGGTTTCGTCGAGTGAGAATAGACTGAAGCACTTGCGAGATCTTTATCGTTCGGCGAATGATAATAAATCGATTTTAATCAACGGGGTTATGAATCAAGACCCGACAATCCTGCGGCGCACACGTGCGCGTATTGATACATTGCGCTCACCACGCGATATCGGGAGTTCACGCCGCTGGAATTGAAGGTGGGGACGAAGGTGGGGCAACACCGCGACACAATCGTCGTTATTAATTTGCATGTTAATAGCACATTAAGTAATAGTCTGCGAGCTCAGTCACGCGTTTCTTGTAGAATTTCGTTCTCACGAGCGTTGCCCCCTGATTCGAAAGGTGATCGCGACAAAAGAGACGATCGCGCAATCAAATGTTATTATCGACAAAACGCGCTCGAGAATAAATAGAAATTTCAATGGGGAGAATAAGTTTACAGAACGTTTGATAAAAAAGAAACAGAATTAAAGAAGGAGAAATGTCAATATATATAGAAAGTTAAAGTGTTGCAAGAACATAAATTTATCTTACTCTTCTTGACGTATAAAAATATGATGTTTTATGATGGTCATTTTTATGATACATGTCTGCGCATTAATGAACAAATAGAAGCCGAGGAGAAGGGAAAGCATGTGTGTTTTTTTTTTCTCTCGTTCCTTCGAGTGTAGATGTGAATGGCACTTGTGCAATTGTAGAAGGTATACAATGCCTCGGGGAATAAATAGAGGCGTGCGTCGGGAATCATATTGCAATCGTAATATAGCCTGAGCAAATTTATATTGCGTACTGCGGCGAGTAATTATAGAAACATTCATTACACTAACGAGGCAGTCAACTACGCGATATATTACGTTCCGATTACAACGTAACGTTGCGAGTCTTGAAGCGCTCGAAACTTTTGCGTCGAATCGCGGATATGCATATTGTTCGATCGCTATCACAATTGCCAATTGATTTATGCGCGGTTTCGGTTTCATAATTGCGGTAGATACCTGTTACACCGTGTTCGCCTGATTGCTACAAACAAGGGCATCCGTGTACATCCGAGCAATTTCATGTAGCGCATTAGGTAGGTGCATAAGTGCGCCGCGGTTTTGCACAAACATTTGCATGCACGCTTGCGCGATGAAAAGTACGTCGATAATTACCGCGTTATCTCGGACGTTCGAGAAATATAGCTGTGTTATTACGTTGATCGAACATCGCCACCAAGAACGGACCACCGGCGTGGTTTTAATAACGATTAATAAGTATTTCGGGGCATTCGACGGGCTGTTAAAATTAATTGAATCAGATTAGCGATGAAAATACAAAATGACGCGCATTTGCATAAATCGATTACGAGAAAATGCGATCGCGATCGCATTACAAACTGCCTTTTTTTAATACCGCCCGCGCACTTTTTTAACCGATGAAGATGTTAAAATGGAGAATCGAGGATCCTCTCGATTCGCACTCGACAACCAAATACGCACCCTTGCCGTTCTTGTGGTATTGCTGCATGTGACTTCTAGTTTCTTTGACACTCTCGCGAGTGCCGAGTGACTGCCACTTGAAATGGCTGTAAGGAGACATCGTCGGTTCATTTTTCCCTTGGTATCTGTTATACCCGATATTGCTGTCGTAGGCTTTCAAGTCCCTGTAATCGTAGTACTGGTTGACCAGCGGCTTCGGCGTTGTAGTTGTAGTCGTCGTGGTCGTCGTAGTCGTTGACGTTGTGAGAATGTCGGTTGTAGCCTCGTCCTCATCGCCATTGTCATCGTCGGTGTAATCCTGCGCAAATAATAATAAGTTCTGTATTAAGAATGTAAACGATATAATTATTTGAATATTGCATACAAATTTTTAATTATAAATACATAAAAAAACAAACTGCAATTAAATATAATAAGATAATGATGAAATTAATCGGAGAAATTTTCAAAGATATGCGAGAGAGCACGGTTTTTAATTCGACTTCTTTCATTCCTCGTCGTTTATGGCGATCGGACAGGAAAGTAAGATGATACGAGATCGTTGATTGAACATGATGAGAAAATATGTAACAACATTCGCACGTCGACGACGCTCGCATAAATTTACCCGCGAGACGATCCTCTTTTGATCGTGGGTGGTCAACACGCCCCCGTGAACCCTCGGCAGATTTTCTCCGCGCGATAAGTTTAATAGGCGAATTTGCATCTCTCTCCGCGCCGTATGCATCTTCACCCGCGATGGGGCCGATTCGCGAGCTCAAAGAGAGCAGGGACCTACTTAATCGCCGTCTGCAACATCTGGAGACCTTTGATGTCGCGCCGCTTAGTAGAAACAATCCTCGACTGCGTGCATTGAATCTAGGGAGAATTTCTCCGAAAGATCTTGATTCCGCGCGCGTCTTCCGTTTTATTGGCAGATGCGTATCGCGCATCGCCGGAAAGCAATGTCGTGACACGATGGTGGTAAAATAAAATCTTTTTATGTAAGAGCGCGATCGAATTTGCATATAAATAGAAGAAACTCCAAGTACTGCGAGTTTTGCATTGGACGAGACTGCATATTTCTTGAAAAATATTTCTGAATTATTTGTTTTTAATTTAAATATCTTAAATTTATCATTTTTTGTTGAAAAAGAAAATATTTTATTCGTGTTAGGATCACATAAAATTAAAATTTATTGTAAAAAAATTGTATGTTGCTTGGTATTTTAAGATCAATTGTCGTTTTTCGCGTTTTCAGAACGCGGCAAACTTCATCAATTATGAGATTAGATCTTAACGCAAACGAGTTAATCTATTTCTCGAAGTTGGGAGTTGGTATTAAGCGATTTATTACTCCCCAAGTGATGAATCGAATATTACGCAAACGTTTATTTTGTTTCAATCGCGATCAGACGTTCCTACAATTGAGACGTCACTTTCTACAAAAAGATTTGTTTCACAAATAGAGAATTTCTCCTAAACTCGACAAAATGTGGCTAAACTGTTGAATTTGTAGACGGTAATGTAATATTTTACAGACGATCCTTTTTTTTCTTTCTGACAATCTTTGGTTGCTCAACATATGGCTCTAACGATGAAAGGTTGAACCTTTCAAAAAGTTGATCCTTTTGTTGGTGCATATGTGTACCATATTGGCATAGAAAATTAGCAGAGGACAGTAAAATTCCATCACAATACAACTAATTGAATACTACTTTTGAAGTAGTAAATAATGGAGAAAAAATTAGAAAAGAATGAAATATTTTCAATAAGGGAAAAATTTATTTCTTCCAGTTCGTTAAAAATCTGTTATCCTTAGCCGAACGATGTTTTATTTTAATCTGTCCTTTATAAGGGATCAAAATAGAAACCTCATCAGAAGGTATGGAATTTGAAGATTTATGCTCGAAAGCGTAAATAAAAGATTTGCCAGATGCTTTGATCTCGGCTCGCAGAAAACGGATTAGACCGTCGATAAATTTAAGTATATCAGGTATATCCCAATGTGTGCCGTGCTATCGTTAATGGTCCTGAAGAAATCAGGGTCGGCGAAAGGTCAGTCGGTCCTCGGCTTAAAAATGAATCCGCGGTTCTTCCGAATCTCGCCTTTAGATACGATCGATGCCGCCTGCGCCCACATGCAAAAATCAAGAGTCTCTAATTTTTAAATCTTTCATCAGGATCCATTATTCTTCATATATCTCTACATATAATAATTCTTCAGTATTTTTAGCATCTTTGTTAGATACTTTTATTTTTAAAACGTCTATTCAATTAATAATTTATTAGAATTTTATTAGAATTTTGTATTAGAATTTCGAAGTCACATTGGCGTAATCATCGGTTGCTGATGCGCTCGAAAACGTAAATTTCCAAGAAAATTATTCAATCACGATTATTCGAAACTATTACCCATTGCATTAAAGTGCACGAATCGTATTCATGGCGTGATAAAGATAACCTTGGCGAGACGGTAGAATGGCGGGATGCACTTGTTACAGAGCATACACGATCGCTCTCGATGATTCTTGGAATCGAGTGGCCGGGTTTTACGAGCGGCGGGTCAAGGGTCGCCGGCGTCTCTGATCGCCATCGAGAATTCGTCTGTCACGCGTACATGTTCCGCGGGTAACGAGACTGTGAAAATTCACGATAAAAGTCCCGGGGTCACCGACACGTCGCGTATTCTATTTTCAGACATGCGCTCAAGGGTTTCGTTCGTAACGCGTTGGTAACTGATAACCGACGGCTCCGACTATTGCAAAGTAGACCACACGCCGTTTTTGATAGCGTAAGTAAGTAGTAGTAGAAGTAAGAAGTAGCAAGTATTTCCTAGCTTCTGCGTCACTGAGTAATTGTTCTACTTAGCAGCAGATAATTGAATTTTACGATCGGCACGCATCTATCATGTTTTGTTATCCTTGTTTCTGAAGGCGAGCTTAATAGTTTCTGCGAAATGACTAGATTACTCAATCATATAATTGTTTAGAACTGGGTGTATCTATTGATCTTTTGTTTTCCATCGGAATGTTTTGAGTAATCTCACCAGTTTTCGGATTTTTCGTTATTATGCCATGTACATATTTATTTATTACGAATAAAACAAATCTTTATATCGCAACGAAGAGCGTGCACCGTGAAAAAGCTTGTATTCATTATAGGTGTTATCGCACATTGTCGCTCTTATTGCAATAAAAACGCAATGAGATTCGACATGAATCGCTGTTTACGCGATTGGCAATCGCAATATTCTAGATTGAGAAAGATTTTAATGCCTTTGGAAAAGTTTGAATACAAAAGATTCCGACATACATATGTTTTGCGTATTGCTGTTGTATTGACGATGTTGTATCTTCGCACTTTATGTAACTTTACATGACTGCTCGCAATTGAATATGCATGTAGGTCAATATATTTGCGCGTAGCAGTATTTTACATTCCAATTTATGTGCATGTAGGAAAATAAAGCGGTGTAAATCATTGAAAATTTATAGAAGTTCAAATGAGGATCGTAACTCGTGTCATTATGTCACTCTTTTTATATTTTATGCATATAGGAAGAAATTAAAGGCGTTTGCGATGTAATTTGAAAATCCTGAACTGAGATTTAATTACAGATAGCTTTTATATAATGAAGTGGCTGCTAGGAAACGCAAGGTGTGCAAAATGTGTCACCCGCGTGCGTATCGAGAGGAGCGCGAAAGTACTCATAAACCTCACGCAACTCATAACTTTGCCCGCTGCACCATCCGCTATGATATTACGTGTTAATTATTTAAATGCTGTGCACACAACGATAGTGATCAAGTAGCGCGAGCTGTTCGCCGCAATGTTTGTGATCACGCAAAGTGACTTTATCCTTTGCCCAGACGGTGCATCAAAATGGAACGGAACGTTGGTATTTCCAGGTAGTCCGTACGACGAATAAAGTTACAAATTAGACCAAGCAGAGAGTGTCTAGAGGTGTAAAAGCGAAGTTACGGCTCGAGGGGATGCAGAGCGAGAGAAGGCGGTTCGAACGCTTTGAAAAATGCAGCTCGCGGCGGCGCGTCGGGCATTAAAAAGTATTAGTGCACATGCGAGGCATCTCCTGTTATTAAATATTGGGTTCGCCCATCACACGACTACGCGGGACCACCCAAAAATTCCGTGGTGGTCCAACGTCGGTGCGCTCGCCGTCGCGCACTAAGTTTCGTCACAGTAATTTCTTTTATGAAAATGCGGGTTAGAGGGTTGCTCTCCGGATTTGCATAACTTGCGCTCTGCAATTGACATAAATTAACATCGCGATTTCTGCAAGTCGGAGATAATTACAAAGTGTAATGTGTTGTCACCAATTTTACAGTCGCTTCATATTAACTGTAGTATATATTTCAGATTGCCAGTATAGATAACACGCGTACGTTAATAGAATCGCTTATCTTGCTTTTTCACAATCTTGCGGCGCACGATAATTATGACAATGTTTCATAGCCTCGGACGAGTTTCGAGTACTAGTTTCTTTTTCTTTCTCTTTCAAGAGTGTAACGTGCTTACGGCGCGTATCCGATTGAATTAATATTTGTGTATCAGATAACGTACTGGAAGACAATGCAGTAGGACCCAAGGCAAATCGATCATGTTTTAGATAACCGATCTCCGCGCTAAATAAATAAATAAACAAAGATGGTAACGGCCACCCATCGAGCTAAGGGCGGTTACATTGACATATTAGATACGATTTTACAAGCAAAAGATATTTTGTTTCGTCAGTATTTGATTAAGTGACCAATCTTTTTTCTGTATTAAGATTATAACTCGTTGTCAGACTTTAACGGACATGTTTGACCGCTAATCGCAATAAATTAAATTATATCCTTCATTAATATTTATATAGAAAGACACTAGTAAAATGTCTCCAAACACATGTTTTTTACTTATTCGAATTCTCATACAATTGCAGACTTGATGAAAACGCGTCCTAGCGTGCGTTATTAATTTTAATTGCTAATTTTACTTATTAATAACTTTTTAGTACATTTATAATTCTGAATAATTACTATAATATTATGAAGTTATACTATAGTTCTGTTGTGAATATATTTCACAAATTAACTTTCGTGAAACAGTGAATCGTAATATTCTGCCGTAACACAATGAAGTATAGTACTGAGAGAATGGTAAGCCGATGTTGTGTGATTGCCATACGAAATACAGCTTTGCCGTTCCAAGAAAGGAATCGCGTCGCTGCCAGGCTGTCTGCTACCGCGAGTCGCTAACATTAGACATGGTAGACCATAGACGAATCATGATTCTCATTCTAATCGATCAACGCTA